AAACAATGACTTACAATGAATTTTCAAATCAAATTCGGCCAAAACAAGTCTCAAGAATTCGAAAAAGGCTTGCTTAAAGCTCTCGAGTTCAGCGCTGAATGAGTCAAGACGGGTTATAACATCAACATCATTAGTATGCTGAGTAGTGGGGCTTGATGGAATCTCCTTTCGAGTGAACTCATTTTGTTTTTTTTTTTAAAAAAAATGAGTCCAACAAAAGACTTTGTTTCTCCGCCTCGACAGGAACAATGTTTTTAAACTGTGCAGTATAAAACAAAACACAAAGAAAAAGAGATTAAAGATAGTATATTTTCTAATAAATATACTTAAATATCATTGACATATAGTATCAACAGAAAAACAAAAACAAATCAAAAGAAATTAAAAAAGCTTATCGATAACAAAATAAATAAATTTAATAAAACAGTAACAATTATCTTGGAATGGGGAAGATTTAAAAATGTCCTCTGTCGAAAGAACTGGTTGTAACTATCGCGAACTTCCCATTTCAATATCCTCGGAATATCATGGTAACCAACAGATGTGCATACTACACCTTCAGCGGTGTCGCATACCTCGTAGAACCACGTCTGGAGAGCCAATATAAGACCATAACAGCTATAGAGATAACCAGCTCCCTCGACCTTCTCAAATATGTGCATTTTCTCTCGACTGTGAATTGAAAACATCGAAAACATCTTTTCCCCAGGCGTGGTCATCGCACTCCGGACTGTCAATCAGGTTAACATAGCATCGGTCTAAACGAAGAGAGTCTTGTGACCCCATCAAGAAATTTTCCAGTAAGTGTAGCTTGGCAAATTTCACCGCATCCTCATCACTAGACCTTGATTTCTTAAGAAACTGCCACCTGATGTGGTTACGACTCTATTCTACGCCATCCAAATACTTGTCATGTAGACCACTAGAGATCTTTGGAATATTTTATTTTTTGCTCTTGCCAATGCATTTCAGTACGATTATAACAACAAATTCCTCTATCCCGAAGCAACTTCCCTCCAAAATCGAACCAAATCTCGTCGCTCCTACTTTGATGAACCTCACGTAAGAGTATATGGTTGATGAGTTGGTTCTGTACAATGCAGTGAGGGAGATCCATGAACTTCCCAAATTGTGAACTCCTAAAATCTTCCAAGTCGTAAGAGTCCTCTTGATTTCGTTTATCGTGGATCGATCTTTGCTGTTTTGGACCTTCACATTTATGTCCTTGGGGTGCGGAATGAGCAATTTTCATTCCTGAAAAAATGAAAAATAAGAAACATATATATTATAAAGAAAATTGTCAACCAACTATAATAATTAAATGATGTTAGAACTACTAATATAGTGAGAAATCAAGATAAAGAAAAAGTCTGAACAAATATGCCCAGCAATTAAGCATGTTCTGTTCAATATACTTGAAATATACTAAAAAATATGACATGCAATTAAAAAACCAAGTGTTGTGACAAATAATTTCAGTATTAAAAGCCCTGAAATAAGCATGTTCTGTTCAATATACTTGAAATATATTAAAAACTATGCCCTACAATTTAAAACCAAGTGTTGTGACAAATAATTTCAGTATTAAATGTCTGAAAAATAATTTCACTATTAAAAATAAAATATCATTGAAATAAACCTTACATATGCTTGAGCTGAAAATAAAAGTGCAATGAAAAACATAATTATCACTGAAATAAACATGTTCTGTTCAATATACTTGAAATATACTAACAAATATGCCCTGCAATTAAAAACCAACTGTTGTGACAAATAGTTGCATTATTAACTTAATATCATGCAAATAAATGTTGCATATATTAGAAAGCTATACTACAAATATAATTAACATAGCAATAGAATTATATGACAACATAATTAAACTTGTAAAGACTATCATTGCATTAGACATTGAATATACCGAAAATATACTACATTTGTAATGAACAACCACATAACACAAATTTGGCAAAACTCTACATGACTGCAAACACAAATGGCAGAGTGATATGTACGAGTATATAAACTTAAATATTACTAACATACAGTCCACACATATAATTGTTGGAATTCCATAAACAATAGTCAACACATAATAAACATACCCCACATATATTCGAATTATACTAACTATATACTAACTAATGTACAACCACAAAAACACATTTTTAGACATACTTTACTTGTTTCCAAACACAATGGCAGTATGATATATACCCGTAAATATACATTCCACAAATATAATTGTTATAATACAATAAAAATTACTCAACACATAATAACCATGTCCCACATATACTTGAATTATACTAACTATATACTAAATGATGTTGAATCAGTGACAGTATAATCATACTGTTAAAATATCATGAAAAAATCAGAATACAATCCAAAAACAAAACCATCAGTTAACATACCAACTAAGGCCAAAAAATCGAATCAAATATTGTTGCTTAAGGGAAACCGAGTTGCGTGGGCCCTTAACATTTGATTATAGACATAGGAAACAAGCTGCCAAACATCAACATCTAATAAGGCCTGTACACAGACAATCAAAGTTCCACCATTTGAGTGTGGACCACTAACAACACACAATATCTTATAACAAGTTGAACACAATCAACAAAAATATTTCAATTAATCATATAAATTACCTTATATGTTATTCCTTTATGAAATATCTAGGGGGCTTGGTGATATCACTGTTGTCCATTCTTCTCTTCTTCATCTGTTGGCTTTGTCCCATTCTTTTCTGGTCCTTTTCTTTATTTTTTTCGTCAGCATTTCAACCAGAGAGTCTTCTTCTTCCAAATCTTCTTCGCTGCCGGTCTCTTCGGGTTGGCTTTCACACTCGAACTCAGGGTCTTCTTCGCTCAAAACTCGGGTTGGCTTCTCCAGTTTACGAGTTCGCCGAGGCTTTTCCGGGTTGTTTGTGTCTGACTGGAAGTCGTCTGAACCGGGAGACGAAGTAAGTTTTTTCATTCTCGCCTTGCCGAAAAACTTGCAACTAGGATTAGGGTTTGAATTTTTCTCGAAAATTAATTTTTCTTGAAAGAGTTTTGGTTGATTTTTAGGGCGGATTTTACAGAGTCGGGCGCTTGATCTTATAACTGGTGAAACGTCGCCACCATCTGCCGAATTTTTACGATGAGGATGAGGGATTTTGGTTTTTGCCATTGAAATTTGAAATCGGCGAAAATTGATGAGCAGTTTCTGCAGAATGACGGGGTACGTGGGGCGGTGGGGTGGTTTGGATTATAAAATTTACCTTTTAGTTTCCCCTTTTTTGATAAGTAGATATTTAATTTGACTTAATTATCTCATACCATTAAAATAATGTTGATAACGGTTAATCAGGTTATTAGATATAATTGAAAATCTTTTAACTTGTTCAGGTGATTTTTTTAAAAGAAATATATAAGGTGTGCAAAAGTGTTATATAATCTAAGTATAATAGTATGACATGCAATTTCCTCAAAAAGGAGTATGCAATTTTCTTAGTGTAGCTTCTTTCTCTTTCTGCTTTTTTGTCGTAGTAGTGGTAAGCTTGCTAGGTCCCTGGGTTCAGTGGCAATGTTATCTTTTTGTTGTTGATCTTCCTAGTATTAGTACACACATTTCAAGTACCTATCTTGGTCTTCATAGCTTCAGTCTATGCCCAGAAGAGATTCTTAAAATTGTCTTTTGGTGTTTTTTGTTTAGGACACCGCAACTGGTGCTCCTCCTTTTATTCTGCTCCTTAGCAGATGGTTTTGTATATACTGTTATTTTTCATTTGATGTTATAAAATCTATCGTTGTAAAAAAAAAAAAAAAAAAAGACGCGAGCGGTATGAGGCCTACAATGTTAGAGCGCAAAATAGTTGATTGCATCTTAAAAGGCCTACCCAATGGAAAGGGCCCAATAAAGTCCATCACTTCCTCAACTCCTCACTCGTGTTCGAAGCAGACACCAGAAAACGAACACATACACTCACACACACACACACACACACACACACACACACACACACACACACACACACACACACGCACACACACACACACACACACACACCCTTTCCCATAGAGTGATAGAACAGGGTTCATCTCCGAATCCCGCAGCCGGCCGCGACGACGGCCACACCCGGTCTCACTCTCACCGTCAAAGATTCGTAAGTTTCTACTCGACTAATGACTACTTCCGTATTCGTCTAAACCCAAACCATTAGATCGGGCTAAAGATTACAGAAACTTTCCTTAATTGTATTGAGCGTTTGAAGATTGAAATTTTATGATATTTGATAAGCTTGGGTTTTGGATGGTTGACTGTGTGCTAAAGTACGTAATATTTGATTGATTCTTTCAATAAAATTAAGCGGATCAAATCACGAGATTGATTGAATTGTTTGGCAGTCTTGTCTGTTGAAAAAGAAATGGTTGGAAAAATATAATGTGAATATTTTGTTAGTGTTTTTACCTCTCGAATACATGTCAGTGCAATATCTAGCTACTTAGTTCTTGCAACAACAACAACAACAACATACCCAGTATATTTCCAACTGGTTGGGATCTGGGGAGTCAGTTGTACGCAGACCTTACCCTTGTAATTATAGAAGGAGGCTGTTTCCGTAGCGACCCAAGGTGCATTGCGTCGTTTGATATATTTTTTTTTTTCTAGAAACTTCACTAATAGAAGAAGCACTAGAATTTAATTGAGCCATTTTGATCTAGTCCATTATTAGCACTATGCCAGGAGAATTGTCAACAATGACTCTTCCAGCTCCATTTGCAATGGACAAAAGCTAGTTAGTTCTTGCATTGCAATGTATTTTTATGATAATAATATATGTAATATTCAGATATATATTTTATATATTTTTCCTTGATAAAGAAAGTAGGGGTATATTTTTTGAATGCTGCCTCTGGGCTAATAATCTACAGAGACAGACCTGGCTGGACCTTGCTCGAATATACACACTCTTGATGAGCAGTTGAGCTAGGTGCGTGGAAATCGGTAAAATGGGATTTGTACAAGAAGCAAGAGAAAATCACGTAAAGAAGAAGGTTGAGGAAGGTAATTTTGTTTGTTAGTTTTGTTAATTCTGAATTTCAAAAACCCCCCTAAACCCTATTGCATGTTCCCATTGCTAATCTTACTTCGCATTTTTGGATGCGTTTTTATTTGATTATTGATGAATTTCACGTGTAGTGTTGGAAATTTTTCTTTTATATCATCTCTTTTTGTGTGCACCATTGCTAAACCCTGTCTTTCGGTTACAGTGTTGTAGTGGAAAGACAATTTTCGACGAGGTTCTGATTGGTAAAGAGTGTGATGTATGTTACTACCCATGTAGGCTTCTATTACATAATTGGTGCAAATTTATGTTGTTGGTCTAACGTAGAAACACCAGTCCTGAAACTATATTAAGTCAGAGCATTAGTGAATTTGAAATTATTTCATACTATAGAGAAGGCTGGGAACAATTGTTCGCTCTAGGGAATATTATCTGCTGAATATGTCATAGGCTTTTCAACGTAAGGGAGTGCAGTGTTGCGATTATACACTAGTACACCTTCTGACTGCATGATATGGCATCTGTTAATGTCACTTTTTTAACCTCGTTCAAGCTGTAATACTGTCTGAATACAAAATGGTGGTGCAGTGAGCATGGCTTTGAAGAGAAACTGTATTTCCTTTAAGAAAACAAGCATCAAATTATTCAAGACAAAGCACACCAAAATGTTTGTTTCTGTTCCTATAGTTATTGTTAAAAGGAATTTTAGTACTTAAACAGACTCAGAAAATAAAGTTCCGCTTATATCATACCATTTAGATTCTGTTTTCTTTGAAATAGCTGCATTATTTGATTCTGCATTTCTGTTATCACTCTCTGGACAAGTACACGAAGAAGACCTTATCCTCATAGTACTGCACCTAGATACGTCAAAATGTTATTTTGGTAATTAAACAGACTCACAAAATAAAAGTTTAGCTTATATCATACCGTGCAGATTCTGTGTTCTTTGAAAATTGCTTCATTGTTTGTTTCTGCATTTCCATTATCACTCTCTTGATGAGTACAGCAAAAAGACCTTACCCTCATAGTATTGCACCTTTATTTTTATGTAAATGCCTTATTAGTCTGTACTTTTAGCACTCTTGTTTTCTCTATTTGATTAACTTGCTCTTCTTTGAAGAAGAAATTGCTATTATATCTTCTGATGTGGAGCTTCAATTTATGGTACAGCTTCATTATAACTTTCTCTTCTTGTCGTGTATCCTCATGGAAATGTTTCTCTGTTATTGAAACAATTTTCTGTTTGTTATCCCTTTAGGCTTTGATGAAGTTTGTGCTACACTAGAATGGCCAAACTATTGAGGCTCCGAAATTGAAAACTATTCTAGTTTATGGTTCTGAACCGTTTGGGTAAACTTCAATTTAGATTGTCTTTGTAGCTTGTATGCATGATGAGCTGCAGCAAGCATGCTACAACACTATTTTAAAATGTCTTTGAAGAACTAAATGTTTCTTCCATGAAATAAAATACCTTTCATAGTGTTACTGAATTTGAAGAAATCGTATTTCCTTGTTACTTGGTGGAACCCTCATAATTTCTCTTTCTGGTTACTCGGATACGTTTGTACTATAATGCATCTTATGTAAAACAGTTGAATAAATTTCCTCAAAATCTTGCTTGTTTTCAGCAATTTATCTATTGTGTCATTCTGGCCAAAATTGACGTATTTATTTGGATGTCTTCTCCCCCTGATAATTATTCGGCAAAAACCTCAGCTTTGCGCAGTAAAATGAAGCAGAAGGCACTGAAGGAATGCGATCAATTTACAGCCAAATATGCGGCGTGTGCTGTAGGCAGAACTATATCTGTTGTTTGGCAATGTCGCGAACAAGCCCGGGAATTGAATCAATGCCTCCATCAGTAGTAAGTTAGACTGCTTTATCATCATTTTATAGGGTGTCTATGGATGTTGCTATATGTATTAATTTTACTTGTCATGTGGAGCATTTTTTTCTTTTTCTTTTTTCTCTCTCCTCTTTTTGTACTGTGGGTTGGATTTATATAATATTTCAGGTGGTTATGGAGTTCGGTTGGAGAATAGTTTTTGTGCATGACATACCCTGCTTCTTTTCTTTTTGATTTGCTTTGAATACATTTCGATTCAGCTTCATGGCATTGTATTATATATACTAATATCCTCTCACCCGTGCGATGCACGGGACGAGCTTGTACGTGAATGATTTTCATACTTAGTATGCAAGTGTTTGTTGAAGTTCCTGGAAAAATATTACTCCATAGAGATTGGTCATAAGAAACATTGTGTGGGATCTAGGAAAAAGCTACAAAGTATGCTTAAGTTACTGAATAATACCTCTCTTATTTCTCCTATAATAATTACGACATGCGAACAAAAAATTGATGAGTAGGTTTAAGAATAAAAGATTTGAAAGTATTGGCATGCAAGCAAATTATGGTTCACTTTGATTATAATTTGTTGCTCAATGCTCCCAACGTAATCGAAAGGAAATACAATTTATATCCGTGCTGTTAGTCTTCGCCCTGAGAAATTGTGTACATTGTATATCACTAAAACATTTATGGTATCTCTCATTTGACCTATTTTCTTGTGATGTAATCTGGTTGCTCCAATTACTAATGCATCTTCCTTTGTGTTTTCCGGTTTTTAGCACAAATGATTCTGTCTTGGAACAAATGAAGAAAGAGTACATGCATCAACAGGAAGGAAAGGGATCTTTGAGCCTTTGAGTCCGTTTATCTTAGATGATCCTGGGAATCTTACCGACTTTTTCCTCGGTGAAAAAATCCGTGAAACTTATGAGAAAACAGTGGAAAATGCATGTGCTTTTGTAGTTATGTGTCAATTGGCATCACATTTGGTCTGTTCAGTGACCTTTGGAAAGTGAGATGTATCTTTTCATCCTTTTGTGTTATGAACAAACTTGATGGAGTGTTTAATGATCAGTGGAGATTATGCCTGTCCAAGAACAAAAAGGAAGTGCAGACAACTACTTAGACGTTTTCGTGTATCTCATCCACAATATTATGAGTTGTATGGTAGTTAAAGTTTGATTTTTCTTATTTTTTTTTTTTTTTTT